GGGGGGGGGGGTGCGTAGATTATTTATATTTCAGATTATTTTGATTTATTAATTTTTAATTCAATTGTGTTTAGACATGCCTTCAAAATAAAATACAGTTACACCAAAAAATAAATATAAAGTGATTTAAAATTTTAACTTACTATAACGTTAAATCAATGAGAACCCTGAGCTTGTTTCTTTGCAATGAGACGGTTCGATCTGGGGGTAATCGGAAACAATGACACCCGAAGTGTGTTGCTTATGTCCAGTTTATTCCGTTGCATTGTTGTGGTTGCTGTCACTGCAGAAAATCCGGCTTCACAGCAATAGGTTGTCGGAAAATTTTAATGGAACACAGATATTTTTAATTTGGGGTATAAACTTAGGAATTTAAATTCAGTTTCAAAATGAAATGGGCATTTGATCCGGGGATTGGGGAACACTGCTCTAAAGCCCTAGTTTTCAATTTTTTTAATAATATATTTATTTTTTTGAAAGCACTGAATATTTATTTAAAACAATATTTCAATTATTTATAATTTAAATCGGCAAATGGCAAAAAGCTTTGAGAGAGAAACTTTATTTAATGTTTATAAAGATTTTCATACATAAGTTTCTGTTGTATTTATGTATACGGAAAAATATCGTTTTCTAACAATTTTAAATGCGATCTTTAAATAACATAATTTTTGATTTTTTATTATCTATGTAAAATTTCGAAATTGATATTTGCTTAGATATTGGAGTAACTACATACTAAAGAATTTGTGTAAACAAAAGATAACTATAAATAAAATAACATTATATATTAAAAAGTAAAAAAAAGAAGAAAAAAGAACATGTAATTTTAGAATAAAAATGTGTTGTTCGACTGCTTTCCTAACTTTTGTTTCAAAACTTATTTTTTAATAATATACAACTCAATAATTCTTTTCGGAGTATTTTATGTTTGTAAAAAATACTTTTCTTTAAAATTCTATTTTTTAAATGTTTTTTGCAAAAAATTTTAATGCAGACTAATTTTTTACATTAAAATTTAAATTTGCATTAAAATTGAAGCGATGGCAACGTAAAAAATGAATAAAAAAAAAGCTAAAGTTGACTTGCACTTCAAGAAGATTATTGATACCTATGCATGTGACCTACGACGTCAGTGCCAGCTGATCGTCTATAAGCAAAATAGCATGTTAAAGTTGAGCTAAGTTTTTCCACATAACTTAGAATGCTTATTAACGTGAAGTTAATTATATACAACGCCGTATTGAACATCGAATTTGTTGAAATATAATTCTTCTTCGTCTAAGTCTTTAACTTAACTTAGATTGATTATTTGTTTATGTATTTCATTGTAACCATGATATATTTTTGTTTCGTGTGCCTAGCGACTTTGTTACATAATTAGTTTGTTTTTGTTCTACATGGCTTTATACCTGTCTTTGTGTTAAGTAAGAAATATATCGTGAAAGAATTGAAATCTTTGTGAAATAATCTTTGTGTAAGAATATAGAATGTGTCCATTAAAAGAATTGATACTTGACTGGGTTGGCTTACTCGAAAAGGAATAGAAAGAACAGTTGTTAACTTAAACTAATGCTACGTTTCAACAACCAATCAGGATCGAGATTCCCACACTACGTCACTTGCAGGTATACCATTTTAAACGCAGACGATTTTTATTCCAAACATGATTTATTCCCTTTATTCAGTTAATACTGTTGCAAAAAATCATCGCAGTTAAATATTTCTTCGAAATCGTTAGTTCATCTAAATTCTAATAGTTTGCTTTACTTGACATTTTTACTTTCAAATTTAAAAGTAAAGCAAAAAATATTTTCAACTAAGGTACGAGTTAAAGAAGAGATTTATGGAAAAGAACATTCTAAGCTAACTGATGATATACATCAGAAAATCTAGAACAATTATGCATATGTGATTTTGATGCAGTAATCAAAGAGGTAGGTTACTTAATTCAATATTCTTGTAATTTTATCTAAGCATTTAAATAACCTTTATATCTTGCTACATTTGTATATAATGTAGATTCTAAGTATAAGTATGAAGTGTTAAATATATATTTTTCTAAAAAGTGTTTGTGTTGTTAGTGCTTATTGTTAAAGAAAATCCACTTCAACTGGTATTACAAAGATCTGTAGCATTGATATAAAAAACTTTTTATTATGTATTAACTCTCAATTATCGTAATGTGGGATTTTTTTTCACACACAATTGAATTTCAAGCAATACTTATATTTTTGAAGGATAATTATATTAAAATGGCATTAGAATTTAATTATCTATAGCAATATCAAAAACTAAATCAGTAATTTTAATTAATCGTGCTTAGTCATAAAAGTAACATTGTTCTTTACGCAACCTTTTGTCATAAGAGATATTCCATTGTAATAGATAAATAGTTAAAGATGAAAAAATTCTGAACTTCGTTAAAAATCTATGCAAAAATTAATTCAATCATGGCTACATTTAACATCTGTCAATAGAAACCATTTATCTGTATTTAAAATTAATAAAATAAATTTTTTAAATAGTTATGATCAAAATATGTTGTTGTGGCAGACAAATAAAAATGATCGTGTTTTTCAAATGCAGTTATAAAAATATGTTATTAGATAATGCGTATATTATAATAAAATTAATATATTTCATTTAATAGGAATTTCGAAGTATTACTTTGATAAAATTTAAATGCTTCTAAGATTTAAATAAAATAAAAGATAATTTTTACGTATAACAGACCAACATCTGAAAAAATATTTATGTTTTCCCAGATATATATTGAAAAGTTTATAAATTTTTACCAGATTTATTATTTAAATAATACAATTAATGTAATGCCAGTTATTATAGTTACTTGCACTGTAAAATCTGACATTTGGGAGAAATTATGTGAAATAAAAAAAGTGCGACTTTCTTAAATTAAGATTTCTCAGGACCTATATCATAGGCTTCGCTCTAAATTGGTATTTTGCTATGTAAAATTACTTTCTTTTTTAAGGAAAGTAATTCTCTCAAATAACGCAATGCTTTTCCTCTCATATACCGCTAATGCTGGTTAGTTCCATCCGAAAGCCCTCTAAGAAGGCAAACTTCGCCTAATGCTTGATTCAGGGGTTCCCTTGTCTTCTGGATAGGGTTCAAAATTACAAGGCAACGGCGTTGAACATTAGTAATCGTAAACCCGAAATTGGTCGGTTGTTCAAAGACGGTTATAAAATAAAAATGTCTGGCTAGTGTGCCCATCCTCTCCATACACACTGCAAATTTTACGAGCAGCTTAAAACTTTGATTGAAAGTGAAAGGATGAGGTTTCAAAATGTTCTTTTTTTTAAAAAACTATGCATTCTATTTTAATGAGTGATCTAAAAATTAACTCGGGAAAAAAAAATATTCCCACCGGAACAAAATATTTTTTTTCTCGAATGATTAAAAAAAAATATTATGCCAAAAACATTTAATGAGACACGAAATATTAATTTAAAAAAAATAAATAAATTTTGTACTAATTTTTGACAATTAAAAAAAAGCCCGGATGGAACTTAATCTGACAGCTCAATAGATTGCAGTTTAAAGTTAGTTTGACAGCTCAATAGATTGCAGTTTAAAGTTAGTTTGACAACTCAATGGATTGCAGTTTAAAGTTAGTTTGACAGCTCAATAGATTGCAGTTTAAAGTTTAAGTCATAAACTGTATAATAGTTTCATCCTAATACGTCATATTTTGTGAAATAATACGAACACCAAAAGTGATGATAAACATATTTAATGGAAAGCATGACAAAATATCTACATATTAAGATGTGCAGTTTAATTTAAAAATTGAAGTGCTGTGAAGAAAACACAATAAATCACACAAGAGTCGAACAGACGATTCAAAACACTCTGAATTTATAATAGGTGGTCATAGTCTTTGATGAGATGAAAGAAATTTTAAATATTCTTCAAATCCCAGGTACAAAGATTTATGCATCATGAAAAATGAATGCATCATCAAATATTTATAATCAGTGGGTAATGTTCAGTAGTTGAGCTGGCTTGCGTGTACTATATAATATTTACTATTAATTTTAAGATTTTTTTTTCTAAAAATCTCAAACGCAATCTCAATTTTTTTTTTGTTAACAATTATTAAATTCTCAAAATCGCTGATGATAATACTGCATGGTAATGAAACAATCACCGATACCTACTCAAAATAGACTTTCTATGGACACCATCCATAAAATAAACAAAACAGAACAAAAACTTATGAACACGTTTTGGTTTGGTTCTTTAATTTTTTTCCTACATTAAGGCACTTTATACGAAGCACCGAATATTAGGACAGAAAAAATTGTACTATTTTTAAATTTAAAAATTTTGATCGAATTTTTTCTTGGTCTAAGAATTGAAAAATAAATCATATTTTTTTTTTTAATTTCCATCTCTAGAAATACTGAATGTCATAATACAATTTATCGTTTACCCGCATAAATTTCCCCCATCTTTTCTCATTCTTTAGCGAAAACACTGAATTCCGGATTATCATAAACCAGGAATCCATTGTTTCTATAATGAGAAACACAATCACGGCTGTTGTTGAAGTAGTTAGAGAGGAACATCCAACCCAACTACTGATCATTATAATTCGCGGGTAGCACATCGCGTGAAGATCGTACAGTTTATTTGAAACCCGAATGATTGCAGTATGACAGCAACTGGCTGAAACTGCAAGATTTTCTGCAGCATTCATCCGCAACTCCTCTGGTGCTTCTGGGTTGTCCGAGAAAATCCAAAGCAGTTTGTGGATCGACGAATCCTTCGAATTCTGTTAGAGATCCATCACCATAACCAGGATAGTTTTCTGCAGTAAAGAAAAAATAAAACAAAATGTAATAAGAATACGGTCAAATTATTTTTTTATTTTTTATGAAGGTAATTGGTAATTTGCATGTCAAATCATGTCATTTCGTAATGTTCTACAGTTATTGTAAAATTCTTAACTGATACTTGAACAATTCATAAATTAAACTCAACCTGGCCGGATTATCGCGTTTGCAAATCTAAACCACTGTTTTAAACGGATAACAAAACTCCACATTGTTATTCACTTGATTTAGTAATCAGAATTATTTTAAGTGATAAAAAAATAAGTCTAAGCTATCACTTATAAGTATGGATATAGGATTTAACAGCTCGTTGTCAAAATAATTAGGTAAACACAAGAAAGCCTTAAAATTGAACTTAAAAGTAAGCCTAAGTTCTAAACATAAAATTTATATTTTCAAATGAAGAATCTGCACCCAACACTCTGGATTTAAGTTACATTATCGGACACTTACTAACAATCATAATAATTTCCACAAATTATAAGAAATCAATCAGAATTTGTTGCTTCACTATTTTTTTTTGCCCTGATTACTTTTAAAAATGATAGGTATGTTGAAGTATCAACGTTATACTATGTTATTATGTAAAATTTTTGGATTTATTTTAAAAATAAAATGTGGAAAACATGTTATTTTTTTGTAAAATTCGATGACAATTTTTACATCGCAATAATTTACATGTAACACTTTTTAATTTCTACTATAACATTAAAAATACAAAATTTTCGGTTGTTGTGCTCCATTTTAACAAAAATATATGTTTCCTTGATATCAAAGCCATTAAAATTTTTCTACAAATATTGTGATGTAGAAATTTCATAGTTAATTTCAAAAATTCGCTGATATGTATCTAGGAAAAGCTAATTGGGAAATAATGACAAGCCACAAATGTCATTATTTCCCAATTAGCTAACCACAAGAAAATTGTCAAATTGGTGATTCAAATAAAAATAATATTATATTGGTCGGTGCACACCTTTGGTGTTAGGTATTTTTGAAGATGTTTTTGGAGTTATATTCATTAAAAAAAATACGAATAAAAAAATATGAACACATAAAAAATCGTCTTATATATTTTTTAAAGGTACGTATGACTTTTTATTTCTCCACAATCAGCTCTTTGAACCTAAGCGAAGTGTTAAAGTTATTAATATCCCTTTCCTTATTTAATAAGTAATAATGTGTTTTATATAAAGACATTTTTTGTAGTGTAGTAATTCACATCTTTCAAACTGAATAAAATCTTTTAAAATGAAATTACAATTTCTTTTTCTTTTGTTCAAATTGGAGAAAAGAAAAAACGTTTTGAAATCGATCCCGTTAATTTTTGTAGTTTTTTGGATTTAAGAGTTTTGGATTATCGATATTTTATTCTATTTTTCTAAGCATTGGTTAATATACAGATAACATTGTTTGACCTACCTGCTACGTATGCATAATTTCTTTTCTTTGTGAGCAATTGCCTGCCTGCTGGATCATAGTATTCATTTTGGCAAACTGTTGCAAGGGCATCAACAAGCATGCTACCACATAGCTTTATACTTCGCTTTTGAATATTGTGATGCCTTGGTATTGCGTTTACAAATACAATGCTGCAGACTATTGCCACACCCAGACATAAACTCTAAAAAAATAATAGAAAAAAACATTCTTAATATAACTAGAATTTTTATAAAGTTATCATCAAAAACATTGCTACTGATAAATAGATACTACATTAACTGAGTATTTATTTAAAGCTAATAATCTTTAAATATTTTCACATAATTGAATAACATAATGAATGATATTCTTTATAAATGTCTTAGAAATTCTTTTTAGCTTATAGCTTACATAAAATTTCTTTAAGTGTTCTTATGTTCCGAATCCCCGTTTCAAATCTTAGAAAAGAAGCGTAATATTTTTACATTTCTCTAACTAGTTTCCGTCCCAAAATCAAATTTTTTATGCATTAAAATTAAAAATATTCACAAAAATTAACAAATAAAATTAAAATTTATTCCTAATTGCAAGTTAAATATGGATTGTATTACAGGATTATATCGCTTTGTACATTGAGTCAGAAATAATATAAAAGGTTACAAATAGTACGTTATTTATTTTTAGGAGCATTTAGTTGATAGAAAACCATCAAATCATCTTTTTGGTGATGTCTAAAATTTTATTTTAAAAAGATTACTTAAGAAAAGGATAGAAAGATAGCTCCTTTAAAATATTTGAAACTTGTTTTTTTACTAACGTCAATAAAGGTAATTGTTTTTAGTAAGTAATTTAATGGGAAAAATCCGTTACTTTATAATATCAAAAATGAATGCGCGTTCTCAGAAAATTTATATTAAGAATAAAATATTTTACAGTATAATCTTTAAATTTGAAATTTTGAACGGCTATAATGTATTATTTTTGTACATAGCTCTTAATTTAAAGGAGTCTTGTAATTTTATCGAAAACTTAGGCAATAAATGTTATTGGCATACCAGTTGTAGCTATTCTCTTGTTTATATGTTTCCTTGTTTAAATAGCCTTGTTTCTTGTTTATATAGCTTAAATGTTTTTCTAAAATCCCCCCCCCCCCAAAAAAAAGAAAGTAGTGTAACTTTACTTTCACAACTTCTTCAAATCATCATTCCAGCTTTTGAAACATGTTTTTTTCCAACAAAAAGTTCTTTTGTACTTTAGTTTTTTTGTTTTTTGTATTTGAATTAAAAAGCTAAATGTTTTGATCTTTTTGTTTTCAAAACACATTAAAACTTTACGGTTCGTTCGCTTAGACATATTTACTAGGATATTGCGAAATAGTTAATAGCAGAAACACTGATAGTTCACAGATATATTTACTCATTAACTGAAAGTGAAGAACAAAAACCTCCTTCATCACGTCTATTTGAACCCTAATTCTAAATTCAATTTTCCCTTTCTAGGTTAGGTTCAAGATTACGAGCTAAAAGCAGTAATCACGTGATCTCGTGAAGTACGAACCGTTTAAAAAAGAATACGTTTTTAAAAGTTGCTATCGGGTTACTTTAAATGTCATGTTTTTCTTTCGCAATGTTTTCCATAGTTGAGCCGCGGAATCGTTTATCGGAACTTGACGAAAAGTTTGCTTATCGAGATGATAGTGCGATGATGCCGCGAGCTGAAACGTAAATATCCGTGGGAAAAATTGAGTAATTCATTTGTTATTCACTGGAAAGAACAGAGAGAGAGGAAGGAATAAGAAAAATTTTTGGCTAAAAATTTCTCCGGGTTAAAGAAAACTGTTGACAAGATTTGACTACAAACATAGCTCAAGCTGTTGAGAGGCTGATGATAAGTTGTTGACTCCTTGTATCTGTTGCCTTTATTTACGATTAAAGTAGTTTTCACGCTTTTTGCTCGTTACTAAGGGCATGCGACTGAATAGAATATAGCGTAAGCCATGTATATTATCGTATTTACACAGCTTTGGATATTTATTACGAAATACGTATTTTTGTTTTTAAGGATCACTGATCAATCAACACATTTATTTCTCTTACGTGGCACAAAAAAACGCGGGGATTTCTCTCTCTAAATTGGCAACACTATAGTCATCTACAACAATTCGTTTTGTTAGGTTGTCTTAAGTAATAATTTAAAGTCGTGTCAAATAATTAGTTATAAGTTAAGTAGTTGATTGGATTAACTTTGTTAGGTTAAGTGTTTGTTTCGATTCATTTTGTTAGGTTGGTTATCGTTTTATGGACATAGAAAATAAATCAATATAAATCAATAAGACACTATGTAGGACCGAAGGTCCTTTACATTGCTTCAGCTATTTCATATCCATATCCATAAAAAGGGGTATAAAGCTCATAGAAATAGCAAAATTCACGGACTTTCAGAGTCTGCTTAAGTTAAAGAAGTAGAGGGTGGAAGAAATTCTTGCACAGCAAGTTGGGGATGAGTTAGTTCCTTAAAATGAGAAACTATTTGTTTTACATCAAAGTTTCAATCCTCAAAATGATAGAATATGGTCAATTTTTATTGATAACGTCCCTGAGAGCCAGTATTATGTCCTGCCTTATCAAAACGCTTCGTCTGTGATTGTTTAGAGGCTAAGTCTCGTTAGTTTTCATTGAAAATGAAGTAAGATCAATGCCCTACCGAGGTTTTAAAAAAAGTGAGAACTTATTGGTCACCGTGTAGAGAACTTAGATAATATTAGACAATATATCACTTGAAAACAGTTAAAATTTAAATCAAAGTACTTCTGCACATGCAAATTTGGATATTTGACCCTCAAGTTATGGGAGGGGGGGTAGCAGGAATCTGGAAAATATGGTGATGTTATTAATAGCATAAAGAAAAAAAGTCCCAATTATGAAAAGGGTTGAAGGGTTTATTCACCGGCGGGTTAATTTCCCTTTTCGCGTTTTTCTCCTTATCACTGAAACTGATTAATATATCAAATAATTTTATCACATAATTATAAAACTTGTTTTTGTATCACAATTGTCAAATTATTTTATTTTAAAACCATCGGTCATTGAACAGCCGATTCTATTTTGAGTTGAAGACTACCAATGTTCAACTCCATAGCCTTGCAATTTTGAACCCAATCCAGAAGACAAGCGAAATACAGGATCAAGTATTGAGAAAAAATTTGCCTTCGCGATGGACTTTTTGAGGGAACTAACCCGCATTCGCGTTACACGGAGAGAAAAACCGCATAATCCTCCCACGCTTAGTCCGACGGCAAGGGGACTCTTAATCCATGATCCGTAGATCCCTGAGGATATTTTTCGTAAGCACTGTGGTTGGTGTGAGCCATATGCCAAATTTGTAATGACCAGCCATCGCTGTGATTCGAACCCCGGTCACCTCATTGGGAGGCAAGCGCTCTATCCCTTGAGCCACTACTGTTCAAATATTAAATTATGTAAAAAATGAATTTTTAAAATTACTTATTAACCTTTATTTTTTATCTTAAAAAATAGCCAAAAAGTCTTTGAAGTATACGGTATGCAAATTTTTAAATCTTTTAAAGTATGCAGTGAAATAAATTGAAAAAGTGATTGAAAAAATAGCGATACTGAAGTATTTTTAAAAAAATACGTTTCTCTCCAGCCGAAATTCGTAGAATAGAAACTACCAAATTGTTACTCTCATTTATTTTTAAGCTATTCTCCATGAATTGAAAAAGTGATTGGAAAAAATAGCGATACTGAAGTATTTTTTAAAAAATACGTTTCTCTCCAGCCGAAATTCCTAGAATAGAAACTATTAAATTGTTACTCTCATTTATTTTTAACCTATTCTCCATAAATGGAAAAAGTGATTGGAAAAAATAGCGATACTGAAGTATTTTTAAAAAAATACGTTTCTCACCAGCCGAAATTCGTAGAATAGAAACTACCAAATTGTTACTCTCATTTATTTTTAACCTATTCTCCATAAATTGAAAAAGTGATTGGAAAAAATAGTGATATTGAAGTATTTTTAAAAGTACTCAAACAACAGAAATTAATTTTTACTTATCTTTTACGTGTGTGGAAGGAGTACTTTCTTGTCTGCCAAAGTTTTGCTTAGGTATCATACTGCATCGCGATTGCAAATAAGAAGAAAAAAATTTTTGTTGAATACATATTTAATTTTTCTTAAAGTCTTTGTTTCATAAAATTTAAACTAATGAGTTTTCACTAATGAAATTCGTAAGATAATTTAAGTTTATTTAAATTTTGTGAAGTGGATAAATACACAATTTAAACAGCTCAATATTTTCACGTTGCTTTTGTAACCTTTAGTCTCTCATTGTGAAAGATGGAGAATGACCGTGAATTGAAGATAAGTAATTAAGAAAAAACAACGCCCTTAATGGAGATAGATGATGTGTTTACATAATTAAACGAAGGACATCAAAGCTCAAATTTGTAAAGCTTAATGTTTAAGATTTATCTGATAAATTTATGAAAACATCACCGAACATTAGATATGCATCTTCTTTTTTCACCATTGCGTCACAGTATTTTTTTTTTACTTGTATTTTCTCACGAAAATTTTTAATAATGACATTTTTAACAGATATTGTGAATAGAAAATAATTTTGGGGTACTGTACAAAGGGCAAAACGCTACAGGACTACTAAATAAAGCAAATGGAGATTCAAAAACTGTTTGCCAGTCGTCACTTTTTTCGTCAATGGCTATCCCCTTTTCCTCACCATGTAACGCAAATGATGGTTAGTTCCATCAAACGGTTACAAAATGGCTATCCCCTGAGCCGTGATGGCTCAGGAGACAGAGAGTTCGTCTTCCAATGAGGTGAACCGGGTTCGAATCCCACAGATGGCTGATCGATGCGAATTCCACATATGGCTTGCACCAACCACAATGCTGATATGAAATATCCTCTGTGATAGACGGATCATGGGTTAGAGTCCTCTAACAGTCAGTTTAACCGTGGGAGGTGTTCATGGTTTTCCTCTCCGTGTAACGCAAATGTGGGTTAGTTCCTTCAAAAAGTGCTCCGCGATTGCAAATTTCACCCAATACTTGATTTACGAGTTCCCTTGTCTTCCGGATTGGGTTCAATATTACAAGGCTACTGAGTTGAACATTAGTAGTCGTAACCCCAAAATTGGGTCGGCAGTTCAACGACAGTTAT